TAATTTTACGGAGAACTGGTTAACGGGGATTGAAAAATGATTACTTATTTAATAATTGAATTTATTAGTCAATTAAAGCTAGACCACCATGGAAAACTCGGAATCACTGGACAACCGTTTCGTCCTAGTATGGGACGCCTTAACAGTGCACATCCATGATCCCGCCCTCCCCCGCGAGATTAGAATCCAGGACCTATCGGTCTCGCAAGCAAACGTTTAACCTTTAAACCACTGAGTCGACATCCGATGATGTTCATGTCTAACTTCAACCAACCCACAAAATTGTGCCACCATCCAATCATTAAAATTCTCCACCATTCGCACAATGAAACATAATAATCACCCAGTGTTCCCTATATTTCATTAGTATCCTCACTGAGATTTATCTATGATCAATATAACTTATGAACTAATAATTCTTAAAAATCCTTATGAAATAAACTATTTTCTTGAGCTTGGTAACTTCTTCAATTTATCATCTAGATTAGCATACTCTACAATGTAAACTACCATCCAAGAAGATTTATCTTTATAGATATATTTCACTGGTTGAAATCGTGAGTCTATTGAAGCTAGATCACCATGGAAGACCTGGAAGCACTGGACAACCGTTTCGTTCTAGTATGGGACTCCTCAGCAGTGCGCATCCACGATCCCGCTCTCCGCTAGATTCGAATCCAGGACCTATCTTATTATAAATTATCCGCTTATTAGTTAAAAGAGTTTTAGTGGAAGTTTTGAGAAAATTTTACTTACAAGTTTTATATTAATGAAGTGTCAGTAGATTGGAATCGATAAATTTTGGATATAAGAAATATGGTTTTTTTAAATAAAAAAACCAACACTATATTTACCATATTTTAAACAATTTGTTCAATGTTGAAAAAGTAGCACTTGCTACAGCACACACATACATATATATATATACATACACATATATATGTCTGTATGTGCATACTTCTTATGTAAAGGCGCGAAAGAATTCTGACAAGTGAAACTAAACAATAGTCCTATTGGTTAACATGTACTACTACTACTACTACTACTACTACTACTACTACTACTACTACTACTACTACTACTACTACTACTACTACTACTACTACTACTACTACTACGACTACGACTACTACTACTACTACTAACGATAATAATACTAATCATATAAGATATAATGAATTAACCAGAGTCGGAGATATTGAATTACTACAAAATAATAATTATGTCATAAAGCATACATATATATTCATAAATAACAAATTATCATTATTATTATTATTATTATTATCACTATCAAATTATTATCATTATTACTGTTTGAAGAATAGAATTGTTACTATCCAAAGTATAGTATGTTTATTCTGATCCATTGTAATTTCCTCTTTGATAAAAAAGAAATATTACAGTCGAATCATTTTTTTTATAATTTTCTTATATATTCAACTGATTAAAGCGATTGGTTTATGAGTGTAGGTGTTTTATTACTACTATTACTATTATTAGTAGTGGTAGTAGTATTGCTAGTATCGTGTTCTTCTTTCTTGCCGCCTTCCCCCTCTCATCAAACAAAAACGAACTATCAATTAGATTACCGAGATTTTTCTTCTATTAAAAAAATAATAAATAAATCCTAAGAAAGAAAATCAGTATAATGACCAACAAGTAAGTAACTTATTATTAATATATTTTATTATTTCATTGAATTAAATTATTTTATTAAATTTAAATAAATTTTTGGAGGTAAATTTAAATAGTTTAATTTGGGGGGGAGGAATTTATTCTATCTTTTAATTGTACATTGTTTAAATAAATTGAGTTTAATGCATGAAAATCAATATTTATAGGGTTAATTTCCATAGATGATAGAGTTCAATTGATTGATTGGAAATAATCTATGTGAAACTCTTGGTCTAAATTATGTACTCATTAAGATCCTTCTAAATAATGTATCAATATTTCACAAGATCTTATTTCATGTTAACCTCTTGTTACTGAATTAAATTAATTTGTTTCAATGTACTAGAGTTAATGCTAAGCTCTATTATTATTTTAAGGTATACTATCACAATTGATTGATCACTGGGTGGTGATCAATCAATTGTGATTACATCTCAGTCCTACAGGAGGTTAGTCACGACTCGGATAGCTCAGTGGTAACGTCTCTGACTGTGAAGCTGGGTGACACGAGATCGAATCCGCCAGGGAGCATCAGTTTCCTCAAGATTACAGGTACACCTTGCTGACGAGTGCCAAGTAGCACGAAACCCGGGTCCAGGGTTTCCTGTTGACTACCTCCAACCACCATCTAAGGTATACTATAATAGAAAGAATGAATTTTAGTATAATTTCAATCAAACTATGATTGATTCTATCAAGAAATGATCATTTTAATTCCATCCAAAAATTATTGTTACATAACTTTATATTTCAGATCTGTGATTTTTATGGATTCATTATCAAGGTTTATTTACAATTTTGGTTACTGTTATACTTCACATTATCCGAAGATATAATGGAAAAAGAAAAGTATTACTGTAGAACTATTATTGATAAGTAGGAATGTGCATGTAAGAATTTGTTTTCAAAATCGTGCATGATTACATCATCGAATAGTTGTAATCTAATTCAATGAAGATGTCTAACTTGTTGTTTGGTTCAATTTAGTTCTAAGTAAAGAACTTAAGGATACAAACAAAAAAAGACTGGTTCAGTGACGAGTGCTTTTCTTTTTCGGGAAATTCATTTACGAAGCTGTACGACTATATATATAATCCAAAATTATAGTCCATAATATATCTATTAAGACTGATGAAAATAATGATAGATTTATTAAACATGATAACAGTGATGTAAAATAAGAAAAGAAAACGAAAGATGTTATTCCTATTAGAAGACAGAGTTTGAAAGTTTATCAACAAAACAGATGATAATTGATAATTACAAAGATGCGTTAAATAATGTGATAAGACAAAATGTAGTCGAAAAGAAAAGGAAAGCAAAAACAAGACCATCAGGGGCTAACAGGTCAATCGAGAAGGATATTAGATGAAGGGTAATGGTTTTGGAAATCTAGAGATGAAGACCATGGTAGAAGGTACCGAATAAGTTTCTTTTGCATACATAGTTCTCTGTGTTTCAAGATGTATAACGGAAATTCACTGTCTTTAATAGCTTTCTATCAACTTTGCAAACGACTTAAAACACTGTGTCGGTTTTGACTGAATGGTTTATGTTCATACGGTGTTTGATTATAGAGCTTCCTTTTGAATCCCTTCCGTCTCATTTAAGCTAAGTTAGATAATTTTCTGAAATAAACTTCGGTGGAACATGCATCAAACAACCTATATATCTTGCTTCACAAAGTAGATAAGATGATGAGTGCATATAAAGTGATCATATGTGAGAGTTTAGGCTTTCGGTAGTTTATGAACGTTAATCGGCAAGCGAATACTAACCTAAAGGTTTCTAAGAAAGTCCTTTTGGGAGAGATAAAATTTCTTCCTTTCAAGATGTTTCCACTTTTGAAATAGATGTTCAGAACAGGGATTTTCTTTGATGAGGATGCTATTTTTTCCGTCTTCCAATAGGGATTCAGCTGTGGAAGCTTGCTAGCTGGCCATTTCATAAACGTTTTCTGTAAATGGATCTTATGATAGTTCTATCGGAATTTCATGTTATACAAAAATCGGGACATTATATGTTTAGTGTGTTTTCAATCCCAAGTGTAAATTTTTTGTTTCAGGTTAACAGTTATTAAATGTAGAGTATTACTTGAATTACATTTATCATCTTATATGATACAAGTCATCGATAGTTTTGGTGAATTGATTGTTTTCTAAACTGACCATAAAATAATTAGTTAGTGTAACAACCTACAAAGTCTTGTGATAATAAAGTTTACAGAATTTTCAACATGATGACGAAAGCATAGTGTTATTCATCTACTCTTAAAAATACTGTACATTTCCTATGTACGATTATACTTAGTGTAAGTGGGATAAGCTTAATACTGTACAATGTTATATTTTAAACATACAGGTAAGTGATTACGTAATTGATCAGACTATAAGATGCCGGCTCAGTAGTTTGGAGGTTAAGCTTTCGCGTGCGAGACCAAAATTCCTGGATTGAAATCACACGTGAGGGGTCGTGGATCCGAACTACTGAAGAATCCCAAACTATGACAAATCAGCTGTCCAGTGCTCCCAGGTTTTCAATGATGGCCTGGTGGTTTCATTATCTAAGTCAGAATTTTCAGTTATTATATATATATATATATATATATCCTCCATTTTATTCAGTGAGTAATTACATTACACCAGACACGGTTGAGCTCTACTGGTCATGGCTTCTCACTAGAACTCTCGAAGTTTTATCCTGAAGCTAGTCATTAGTGAGCACATGATTATCATCAGTATATTGATCAAATCCCACGTACAGGATCGTGGATGTTCACTGCTGAGGAGTCCCATACTAGAATAAAATGGTCATTCAATGCTTTCAGGTTTTCCATGGTGGTCTAACATCAATCGGTTCTTGATCCCAATAAAAAAAACAAATAGATCTATTTTCCTTTGTACTGTATCTCATAAAAAAAATAAGCAATCTGAATAATATAAAAAGTTATTAGTAAATTTGACTAATTACAAGTGACTAACTACGAATAGAAAATGAAAAATGAATTTCATCCCAAAAATACGCTGTAGAATTTGATTGGTTGATTGATACATGTAGGCTAACCAATCAGAATGCTGCCAAAGTATAGTTAACATTCCTATAATATATGAATGCTTACGTTGAATGAATCGTATGTTAACCATAGTAGAGAAATAACGTAAATTCATTACGAAGAAAAAAACAACTCCAAAACCTATTTACGGGATAATAATTATTAATCAGACGATCTTTTAAAAAATATATATATATATATATAAGACACATAAAATCAATAGAAAATAGAAAATATACACTTTGTGAATGATATCAGCATATAAGTTGAAATGTTAACTGTTCAGTTGGTTGATGTAGATAATCGTCACAATCAACAACAAAAACAAAAACAAAAACAACAACGTCAACAACATCCAAATTTTAATAATCACCATAGTTACTGTATTGGTCATTATCCGACTTGTTATCACCAATCATATCTTATGCCACAAGATCATCATACTTATGATAACAATAATCCAATAACAAAATTAACAGCTCTTACATTCAGTACTTCAACATGTCTTAATAATAATTTTACTGATAGTAATATTATTATTAATCATAGTAACAAGTTCACATTTATAAATTCAAAAAAAAATCACTCAAAATATTGTTGTTCCTCTTCTTTCTCTTCTTCTTCTTCTTCTGCAGTTAATATCAATATTTATTCTAATTCTATGATCAAACATCATTTGGACAAAGTTAATGAATTAAGACAAGAGGAAGTCAGGAGAATAGAAAGACAACATAATAAAAATGATAATAATAATAATTTACAACAAATAAAATCAAGTCAAGATTATGAATATGATCCCATTCAAACTGATCTTGATCCTAATCATTCTGATCAATATCAAGAACAAAATATTTTAAAAACAGAAGAATTAATAATGGATGAAAATTGTATAGAGAAAAATATACTTACAATGACAAACTTAATTAAAGATAATAATAATCATGATACAATTATAGATAATGATCATTCTATACTACTTATTAATGAAAATAATTCTATTCAACAAAAGAACTCAATTGACAATATAAAACCTTTAATATTAGGAAATTTAATTTGTTCATCAGATGAAATGAAAAATTACCAGGTTAGTTTTAAAAAAAAAAGATTATTGTCAAGAATTTATTGAATATTTTAATAATGAAGGTAAAAGGTAGATGTGACTAAGTTATACATGCTAGAACATATATATGTATTAATAGTTGAGATCATGAATCAGTTGAAGCTAGACCATCATGGGAAACCTAGAAGCATTGGGCAGACCTGGGTTTGAATCTCGTGAGGCGGGATCATGGACGCGCATTGTTGAGGAGTTTCATAATAACACGAAACGGCCATCCAGTGCTTCCAGGTTTTCCATAGTGGTCTAGCTTTAATTAACTCATGAATTCAGCTATTAGAATTGCTATAATATCCACAAAAACCTCTTCTGATATAGATATGTTTTGGCTGTGGTATACCAAGTGTATTATTCTTATTAGTTTCTAAATTAGAAACTTTCTCTGATTTTTAAAATAATCATTAGTTATTGAATGAAAAGTAGTTTTGATGTGACAAGCCATAAGACTGTATTACTCATTAGAAATATTAATAAGGATAGGAATAAATTTATCTAATTATTATGTTTTAATTAGGGTTACATAAGGATTATAAAATTATACCAAAATAATGGGAAAGGAATTACATTTATATGAGAGTAATAATAACTTACGTAACATGCTAATAGTTTAACTTTTTAATATAAATCGTTATGTATGTTTAACAGTGTATTATTATCATTATTACCATCAATTTCAATGAATATGATATGCATATAACATGATACAAATATCATAAGTAATTTTTATGAACACAGAGAGGTTTTGTCGATATTATAGTAATTTTAATAGTTGAATTCATTAGTCGATTGAAACTAGACCACTATGGAAAACGTGGAAGCACTGGATGGCCGTTTCATGGATGTGCACCGTTGAGAAGTCCCATAATAGGACGAAACAACTTTCTAGTACTTCTAGGTTTTCGACGATGGTCTAGTTTCAATTGACTCATGAATTCAATTATTAAAATTTTTATGAAGTTGGTAATTTTTATATAATTTAGTCTTATGAAAAATGTATGATAATCTTACTTTCAATCAATTAGCTTACTGAATAATTAAGAAAAGATTCATTTCATCATACATTACATCTTGACAGTGCATTTCATACTATTTAACTTTATACAACAAAACAGATCTAAAGGCACTTTTTAGGTGTGTTTACTGTAATCTATTCTATTGTAAGAGCCTACATTTTTTATTTGTAAACATTACAGACTGTAATTACTCCGTCTCTATTGGTATATGTTTATCCTCAATGGATCATCTTGATCTTGTTATTTGATTACTAGATTTTTGTTAAAGTTAGATGGTGATTAACAGTGGAATCCAGCGAATCATTGTTATTTAAAGTGAAAGGTACTAAGTTTTTTCGAAAAAAAAACACTATTCAGCTCTAAATTTAAACAAAATAATAATGCTCTGACTTTAAAATGTTTGATATTTTCGAATAAATACAGGTATATGTGATCTTGCGCAACCATTCATCCGTTTTCTGTTTAACATTCGACACAGATTGCACTTCACTAGTCACGACCTCTCATTAGAACTCTAGAAGTTACATTTTGAAGCTATTCACTAGTGAGCGCATGAATATTATTAGATTGGAGACTTGTGGAGATGGTATGAATTTTAATAGTTGAATTCATTAATCTAAGCTAGACCAATATTGAAGACCTGAGTTGGAGTCCCGCGTTCGGAGTCATGAATGCACACTGCTGAGGAGTCCGATACTAGGATGAAACAGCCATCCAGTGCTTCCAGGTTTTCAATGGTGGTCTAGCTTAGATCAACTAGTAAATCCAAATGTTAAAATCATAAAATTTCCACGATTCCCCATTCTGAAAATAAAGGTATCTCTTGAAAAAAGTTAATTACACTTTTATTCGTAATTGAATTACGTGTATAAATCATTTGGGAAATTAGACACTCTAATTTATTGCCAACAAATGTCCAACGGCCAAATGAATCAATGAATAGTTTCGCCTAGCTTACAGAAAGTAATTTTCCTCTTAACAATTGCTTACATCTAAATTATAACTCAGAATAAATTTTCTAAGTAGACCAGTAATCTAGAAAAGTTATTTAATTTTACAAAAATTGTCTGGTTATCTCTCTGATAAAATTGACTGATAGTTGGTGTTATTAGACTGAGACGTATTAATTAGAAATTAACAGGTACTATACACCACTATTGAGAACATATTTAAGTAAAAATGGATAGTGGCTATAGATAAATTCAATCGATTAAAAATAATTCGACCTCACTGAAGTCATGAATCGATCTAAGTTAGACAAAGACTGAAAACCTGAAAGCATTGACCCGCCGTTTCGTCCTGGTATGGGGCTTCTCAGCTGTACTCATTCACTACCCAGCGAGCTGCAATTGAACCCAGGATCTTCGATGTTCCGGAGAACGCTTAACCTACAGACCACTAAGCGCACGACCAAAAGCCCTGGATTCTATCCCTAGTTGTGGGATCGTCGATTAGCATTGCCGAGAAGTCACATACTAGGACGAATCGGCTATCCAATGCCACCAGGTTTCGAATGGTTGTCTGACTTATCTTGACTTCATTCTAAAAATCAATCTTAATCGTAGATCACTCGTAAAGATCTAATCATTTACTGATATCTGTATTGAATTCATCTTCAAATAGCTTTGAGTACTAAAATACAGAATACCTGAAAAGCTCAAAACTAGGTACTTAGTGCTAAAGCCTATTAATTTACCTTTAAAATCTTCTTTCCTAGTGGCAAGGAAATTAGAAAGTGTTATTTGAATTGTAAGAGAATATGTTCATAGCTCTGTTAGAATATTCCTGAAGTGTTTATATTTCCTACCCAGAAAGTCGAGAATCACTATAATCACGGAATCACCAAATACTGAAGATAGAAAGAACCGTAAATTATTTAAAGTAACTAATCAATCAAACGTTACACTTTCAAGTTGCCCAGTGAAGTGTTTAAATGCGAATGTATGGAGATCTCAAAACTGTTAGTTTTATTTTGTCTAAAGTATTGATTGATTGAAAGTAATCAATAAAAACGCCCATAGTCATGCATTTTTCTGTTAGTATCGTTCAAACAGTCATGACATCAATTTAAATCATTCCACCACATAGATTCAATTCTTTATAGTCAAGATCTATTGTCATAAATATTACTTTGGCTACTATTATTACTCTTGTTAATATTTTGAAACTAAGGTTAATTCATAAAATGGTTCACTGTTAGCATATGGATAATGGTCTTTTTCATAATTGTTTTCATTTAACTAATCTGTAACTTATGCAACTTTATATACATAGACTTAACTGTTGTAAATTCGATGTTTGAGTTTAATATTGATTAATCAGAATTTACAACGATATTTCAAATTTTCTATCTTGTATACTTATTATATTTAAACGAGATTGTATCGTAGTGAACGAGAACACTGACAGGGACAACTAAATGTACTTGAATACGAAATTACAGAATCTTTTACTAAAATCTAAGAACCATATAGTAAATACTTTATTCTATATCAGTCATTCTCTGTTCTCTTCCTAGTCTTTTCAGTCTTCTCAACCTTTTACCTCTAGGCATTCCACTTTCAATTAGTGATACATACTACTTATATCTGTCGATATCAGTAGCGTACACCCCAATATTACTATATACATATATATATTAAAGAAAATTTTTAACAATGAATCCTAATAAACACTTTGAAAACTAAAATAAAGGAAAGAAAGATAATCAACAACCAACTACTATTTTCAAAATCTGTTCTTTTTTTTCTTCTTCTAAGAACTACATTATTAAATTTTGTTGATTTAGTTCAAGGTTACTGAAGTAAATAGAAAGAAGACAAAAAAAAGAACGCTACACTTTTGTTTAAATGTCTAGTTTGTCATATTTGAGGGATGTTTATGAATTTAATTATACTTATTTATACTTAGATATATTTTTTCATTCATTCATTTCACTATGTAACAACTATGAATTGAAAAGAAATTCAACTAAAAATATACAGGACATATTAAATGTTTAATAAAAGTGTGATATTTAGAGTTTTAGAGAATTTCTTTTCGACTTATATAATGAATGGTTGTTAAGTAAAAGAGTTTAATATTCAATTGAGTTTTTATTTTAACAGATATTTGAAACTATATACATATATTTTTTGGTGAATACAATCATTTCAGTAGTTGAAATCATGAGTTAATTGAAGCTAGATCACTATGGAAAACTTGGAAGCACTGGACGGCCGTTTCATCCTAGTATGAGACTCCTTAGCAGTGTGTATCAACGATCCAGCTTCGCGGTCTGGAACCCAGGACCTATCAGTCTCACGTACGGGCGCATCAAACAGTGTTAATGTCAAACCTCAACCAATCCACGAAATTGAAAGACACATTCACTATTGTCTTCATTAAGTTACTATCACACAACAGATCCGGTTAAGCGTTCGCATGCTAAACCGATAGGTTCTGGGTTTGAATCTCGTGAGGCGGGATGGTAAGTGAGAACTGCTGAGGTGTCCCACAGTAGAACGTAACGACTATCCAGTACTTTCAGGTTTTCCATGGTAATCTAGTTTCAATTGACTCATGATTTTAACTATTGAAATTTCTAAAATTTCCACAAAACCCGTTTTGATAATACAATAATTGTACGGAATTTTAAGTTGTTAAATGATTGAAGCAAATAAACTGTAAGTTAGATTCATTTAGTGTTGTTTACCTGTGTCTTGCTATTGTTATTTAGGACTACAATTGATCAGTCTCTTGTTGGGATATGTTCATCCTGTGTGGACTGCTTCGATATTACCTGAAGTCATATGCTGCTAGTCATTATCCATGTTTGCTTATAAAGCCTATGATTTAAGGCAATATCGAGGTAATCCGCATAGGATGCACATATGCCAACAAGAGACTGATCAATTGTAGTCCTAAACAATAATGAGGAAATACAAGTAAACAACATCAAGTGAATTTAAACTT